GTTAAAATTCTATTTTTTTTTCATAACAAAGGCAAAATTGATTATTAACTTTTTCTTTTAAATTTTTTTTATACCAAAGATATTTTCTCTAATTAAAAAACCTTCTTTTTTTGTAAAAAATTACAAAAACTTTTATAAAAAAAATTGCTAACCACTTTTTCATTTATTTTCTAACATTTCCATTCCAATTTTCTCAATATCATCCTATTTGTTTTTCTGTCTACCTTTTGCTATGTTACTCACTAACGGTTTATCTTTGTTTTTTCCAGGATTATAATTAATTTAATGACATTCTTTGTATTTTATTTTACAAACATTATTTGCACTTTATTTATTTATTTCGCGCTACTCATCAATTTACCGTAATCTCACCTTTCGAAGGATTAGGTCTAGCAATTTGACCACCGAGTCAATAACCCTAACCATTGACGTTTTCAAACCCTGACACTTTTAGGTGTCCCGCTGCGGACAATTTTACCCTTTACCCTAGCTTTAGGTTAAGAGTCGCCGTACTCTGTTTTAGGGTTTCCCGCCGTGGAATCCCTAATTTAACCCTAAATTTCATTAACAATTTCAACGTAGAGATTGGAGTCTCTGCACTCCACGTAAGCGTGTCCTTAAGATACGTTTATTCCCCATTGAAACCTTGACCATAGTCAAGACGTTTCTAACCTCCCTTTCGAGGGGAACTACAATTACTCTGATTCCATTCCCGTCAGGATATGTAGGCACAAGATGCGATGTCTTGCCGAGTAAACTTAGAACTAACCCTTAGGTATTTTCCTTTAACTTTTAATCCCTTTGTATATACCTTAAAGAAATTAATCGAAGAAAATAGTAAAAATGAACAAAAGGTTCCTATAGAGTTCTACAGAAGTTTAGGATGCTAATACCTTCCCTAAACTTAACCAACCTCCGAACCCTAGATCTTTCCCCGCATTGTGTTAACAATGCAAAAATAGGTTTTTCCTCTTTTGACCTTTTCCTTCGGATAAATCAAAGAGTGATTGTGAACTAATTAGTGATTCAAGTTAATTAATAATTTGATATCCTATTTTCACCGCAAAAACGTTGGATCAAGGGTTTGACTTATATTTGTATGGAAAAACGTGTTGAAATGGAAGTTGGTTTGAAAATGGCTCGACGGTAAGTCGAGGGTTTGATTGAAAATGGAACCGGCTTGACGACGAGTCAAGGGTTAAATTGTGAGAAATGATACTAGTCCCTAAGGGTGCCCCCAATATCGAAACCACGATGAAATGTGAAAGTGTGTGCGATAGGTTGATGGTGAATGCAGACGAGCACTCGACTTACAGATGGTGTTTGAAAATGGATCGATGATGAATCCAGAATTAATTTGAAAAACAGTTTCATCTACGCTAGTCCCTACGGGTGTTCCTAGAACACAAACCACGATCAAAGAAAAACGCGTACATCAAAATGGGAGAGGGGTACATGTGAGTTATATGGGATTGCACGAAATAAAATGTCTCATTGTAAGGTAGCCCAAGAGAAAGCCGTGTGTGTGAGGTGTCCTAAACTATGCCTTGAGCAAAAGTCAGACAAAAACTCCAAGTTAGGGTTTCTGACAAAGTCCAATAGTCCATTGCTCGGACAAATAACCAACAGTCCACCAATTTAAGCTTTTAGGTTTTGATAATTGTTTAGTGTTTTCGAAAGAATGTGAAAAAGAGATAAACAAAATGACTATGGGTATGAACAATTATGAATAATATGACAAGATATATAACAATATAATCAAGATAAAATTCACAATAATATAATCAAGATAATATTAACAAGTATATGAACAAGATAATATAATTGAGATATAATGACTGAAATTAAATCAAGGGTATATTTGACTGAAAATAAAGCAATTGTATATTGACTGAAAGTAAAGTTAGTGGTTAGTCGATTTGTAAATTGAATTGGGACGAAATGTAGCGCTAAATCGTCGTAGCTCGCTTTATGACGAAAGTCGAACTATAGGAGGTCGCATGAATTGACATTCGTGCTAAAAACAAGATAGAGAAATGATATTGAGGATCATTCTCCAATTTAATCGTGTCGCAAGGACCAAAAAGCAAATGATCTCGTGGCTTGTTGTACGTCCTTATGGTAATCCTTCTTGTTGCAGCTGGCGTGGTTTTGTGTGGGACCGTCTATGGTGTGGCTTGTTTGTGTTATTTCCAATTTCAATTTGGCACCATGTTTTTTTGCTACGCATTGTTGTCCTGGCTGTATATCATGTGTTACTCATGTTCATTTTTTCAATTTTGTAATGGTTGGCTGATTGTTAGCTTGGCTGGACTTTTGTGGAGGTTGTTGCGTGAGGGAATGAATTGCACCCTCCAATTTTAGAATTAATTCTCACGCTTCCAATTAATATCAAACTTGAAACAAATCATCATGAAAGCTTAAACCTCTCTTACAACTTAAAGTATGGTGAAGCGAACGTCTAATGTTATGACCAAGAGGAAACAACCTTGAGAAGTGCTGCAAAAAATGAATTGATTATGAACTTTGCATCTCCGTATCAACTGCATGTTTCACGTTTTGAAAATATTCTTGAATTTTTTTAAAATGGACACACTTTGAATTAGTCCTTTATAAAAAAAATTCACCATGAATTGATCTGGAGTGATCCTGAATTGGAAACGAATCAGAGCCTTGCATCAACAAAAATAAATCTGAACTTGAATAAACCAAGGCCTTTAATATGAAAATCCTTGAGCCAGAAAATGCATTGAATTTGCCACAGTCCTGGCAACTTGATTCATTCATAACTAACTTGACTTGTCACACAATAACCAATTGGATTCTCCGACACACCCGCCAGATAATTCTCAAACCCTAGCCTATCTCAAACCTGGTTTAACTAACAAATTAAGTGGACAACCAAAAAAAAAGAACCTCAACGCATACTGCACTTACTCCTTGCTTGATTAATCTCAGATGAAACTTGATGTAGTTCAATCCATCTTTTATGATAGAAACAACATATTTTTGGATTTTTGAATAATGTTAGTGGGTGAATGTACAGAATGAAAGTTATACACAGGTAGGACAAATTTGGGGTATGACACCAAGAGATAAGAAACCAAAACACCAAGTTATAATTATGTGATATTATATAATGTGTAAATTGTAGGTTGTTTGTTCTGATACATTGTAGAATGTTTGTTCTGATACAATTGAATATGATACAATCATGTGATATTATGAATATGATACAATTATATGATATTATGAATATGATACAATTAATATTATTATGATAACTTTATCATAAATGTGAGTTGTATTTTCTGGTGTGATATGGTGAACAATAATACAGGTTAAAAAGTGAGATTAACTATAAAATCAAGATAATATTTGTTAATTCTGTAGAAAATGTAACAACGGCTATATATCATAACTGTGATAATATTTTTTAATTCTGCAGAAAATTTAACAATGTTTATATATCATAACCGTAATAATATCTCGCGCACTGTCTAAAAAAAATAAATATCAAAATAGTGCAGCTGAGAATTGAACCTAAGACCATTTTTTATCACAGCGGTTTTTTGGAAAACCCGTTGTGATAGGGCGCGCACTTTTCAGTTTATTACAACGGTTACTGGGTCGTGATTGTAAATATCATATATACAACAACACGCAACATAACAACTCATGCACCCGCGTGATTATATATCATTCTCAACCGTTGTTAAATGAATTTTCCATAGTAGTGTTATTTGGATAGTTGAGGGTTTGGAATGCCTTCTATGCACTCACTTTGCAATTGTCAATCTGAAAAATACAAATCATATATTTTTAATTTCAATTTTCCATGCAGCTTCTTGGATATGGTTAACTCATTCCTTCAATATCCACATATTCATATGCATCTTCTTGGATTGCAAGAAGGCTTTAAACCTAGATTGATCTCCCCATGCGCATATTGTCATTAATTCTTGCATGATCATTATCTTTTTTGCTATTTGGATTGCAAGAAACATGAGAAGATTTGTAGGCAAGGAAACAATGGAAAATCTTGTCTGACATTCAAATGTTAGGATCTCTATGAACCACACTACAAAAGTTTCAAACTCATTCATAAGAAACTTTTACATCCTCTTTGTTAGACAAGCTTGATATCCAAAGTTTAGACCGTCTTTTTAAGGAGTTCCCCCCACCCCCTTTGTTCTCTTACCTTCTATTTGTGAGATTTTTGTTTATAAAAAAAAGTATACAAAATATGGTGTCCACTATTACACCTCTTTTTTTATTAGCCTAATTACCTTAGAAATTTCCTATTAAAGGTAATTGAATAGGATACAGTGGGTTTGAATTTGCACTCTTGCACTCAATGTTCTAGAATAATTAGTAATTAAGCATGTTTAATAGGACTCTTTATTTAAATGATTCTATACAAAATATTATTATGATAATTTTATAATTTAAATATCATCTTTTTAAAACATAATATTTAAAATAGCTTGTTAAAAAATAAAAAATAAAAAATAAAAAACATTATTTAAGTCTTTTAAATATAATTTAGTTGGTAGATATGAGAATATGTGTAGAAGGTGTGAATTTTTTTGAATAAGTTATTTTAAATTTTATATAAATTTTAATAAAATTATATATTAAATACTATTTTCATTTAATATACTTTATTAATGTAAATATCTTTTTTTATTATAAACATAATAAAGATTATACACAAATGGAAGGCAAAATGAATAAGATAATAAGAATATTTGTTGTAAAGTTTTATTTTTAAGAATCTATAATGTAAACATATTTAAACAATAAAATCTTGTATTTAATAAAAGTCATGTATTAGATATTGCAATAAAAAAAATATGAATCTGGCTCTAATTCCAACCAGTTGCATCTCAATTTTTTTTTATAAATAGCATAATTGGAATTACAAGAAATACATAGCAAACAAATTACAAAACTTTCTTCTATCTCATTTGTTTTTGTTATTTTGATCATCACTGATCATGAGTAGAAAGAAGGTGAAACTTCAATACATAATCAATCAATCAAGCAGGAAGGCATCATACAACAAAAGAAAGACATGTTAGAGATTATCGGTTTCATATTTTCAATAAAACTTGTATTAGTCTTCCCTGATTATCTCATCTATCTCCTCTAACTATATTTGTTTTTCAATAGGTTTATTGAAGAAGGTTAAGGAAATTAGCATCCTTTGTGGGATAGAAGCATGTGTAATAATCTATGGTGAAAACAGTGCTCAACCGGAGGTTTGGCCACCTGGTCCAGGAACACTAAACGTGGTACACAAATTTTGGGGTGTACCTGAATTCGAACGAAGCAAAAAGACAATGGATTTGGAGGGTTTCTTGAAGCAAAGCATAGAGAAATCGCGAGAGCAGTTGAGAAAACAAATTTTGGAGAACAAGAAGAAGAGATTTACCAATTTCATTGATAAAGCCCTAATCAATAAATATAACAATACTGATATTGTGAACATTAATGAAATCAATGATCTTGTGAACATGAATGAACTCAATGATTTGATAAAATTTATCGATGCCAATATCAAGGAAGTTGAAAAAAAGTTGAATTCTGTGGATGTTGAAGCCCGGGAGCATGATGGTAATGAAATTGAAGCTATGACTAGAATAGAGCAGCATGATGATGTTGGAAATGAACAAGGTTTCATAAATGGAGGAAATATGCAGGTTGATGTTCATGGTTTGGATAGGAACATGGGTTATGATATCCAAAGTGATTATCAATATCTTCCATGGGACTATTCTGTATTACCATATCATGATTATAATATGGATAGAGATGGTCTTTGATCTAACTAGACCATATCTTTCTTGAAATATTATTGCTATTAGTTTTGTGTGTCTTTCAATGTCTTTGTATTGGGTTTTGTTTCAATAATGTCTCTTTTGTTTGTGTTTGTTTGTTTGAGTCAATGAGTGTCTGTGTCTTATGTTAGATTTCATAGTGTTCATGATTAAAACATGATCATCAATGGAATAATAGTGGTTTAATTTGTGTTGTTTTTCAATGATTTGGTTTTTGTATTTAATTAAATAAATAAAATTAAAGGGAAATTAGGGAAGATTGATTGCTTGAATTTTACTCTCGTCTCTCATTTAGTTATATGTATTTCTCATTAGCAACATGGATACCTATTTAGGTTTCAATAAACTAACGATTTCTTATATACAATGAAATTTAACAACCCAATATTCAAATCTTGTTTAAATTTAATGAAAATTTTAATCTTTAATAGTCTTTCAAATATTTCCATATACAAATTCACAACTCAATATCGTATCCAATGACTATTATCACAACTTCGTCGGCAAAAATAACTAAAATAAAAAATGGAAAAATTAAGCATTTTGGCTCAAGTAGTAAACGAGCTCCTACTAAAGAATGAAAGTTTGAGAAATACTGAATTCGATTTTTAGTGGAAACAATGTTTGGTCAGACATATGATCTCTCAAGCTAAACTTTAGATTACTAGGGGGGATTCAAATTTATTTTACAGGGGGTAAACCTAATTTCCTCTACATTGTAAGGCGTGTTGTATATTTAACCCCATTTTATATTATCACTAGCTAGTTGCTCAAAGGATGTCTGAGGTGCATTGTGAGGTATGGAGATTTTATTTCTGTTTGCTTTAGTGTTGAGAAGATTGGTGATGATGACCTTCATCGTCTTGGCTGGAAGATTAATTGCATATGCTTTAGTGATTTCATGTCCCATATTGATCTTATTAATCTTTCCCTTTTTGGTAGAAACTCATCAAGTTTCAACATAATGGAGGGCCACTAGTAGACTTGACAGATCTTTGTGTTTGATACTTCACTACGCCAGAATTGACATTTAGCAGCGCATACAAAGACATCGCTTTTAGAAAAAGCGCTGCTAAAGAGGGCTAAAAAAAAAGAAAAAAATTGATAACCAAAGACAGCGCTTTTTCAGAAAGCGCTGCTAAATGGGGGTCCTAAGACAGCGCTTCTAAAAAGCGCTGCTAAAAGGGGGGTCTAAGACAGCCCAAAGACAGCGCTTTTTAAAAAGCGCTGCTAAAGGGGGGTCCTAAGGCAGCGCTTCCAAAAAGCGCTGCTAAATGGGGGGTCTAAGACAGCCCAAAGACATCGCTTTTTAGAAGCACTGTTGTAGGTTTAGTCTACGAGAGCGCTTTTTCCATAAAGCGCTGCTATATGGGTTACATTAGAAGGTCTTTGAGAGCGCTTTTTAAAACGCTGCTAAAGCTATTAAAAAGCGCTGCTATAGGTTTATTAGAATTAATTTAAAATACCCACCAGAATTTTTATGAGAAACAGAACAGTCATTACGTATTTCTTTCTTTCTTTTTCTCTGGCGAACAAAGAACGTTGCCCTATAAACCCACCGTTGCTGTCCAACCGTCGCCGTCCGTCCAACCGTCGCCCTCCTCTGTTGCATTTCGTCGCCGTTCACCGTCCCTCTGCTCGTCTGCATTGCATTATTGTTACGGTATTTGAAGTTTTACTCTGATTTTCTTTTTTACGTATATTTTCACCATTGTTGCTGTAATCTTTAAGTAGAACTGAATATGTTTTTATTATTTGAATGCAATCAAGTTAAGTAGAACTGAATATGTTTTCACCATTGTTGCTGTAATCTTTAAGTAGAACAGAGAGTTTTTATTTGAGAGTTTATATGAGAGTTTATATTTGAGAGTTTAGATTTGAGAGTTTATATATGAGAGTTAAGTATTTGAACTGAATATGTTTTCTACAAGAGTTTATATTTTTTAAGAGAGTTTATATTTTGTATGTTTTAAGAGAGTTTATAAGAGAGTTTTGTTTGTGATAACTGTTTGGTCATGAAATGTTTAAGAGAGTTTATAAGAGAGTTTATAAAAGAGTTTTTAAGAGAGTTTTTAACCATTGTTTGAGAGAGTTTCAATGTTTAAGAGAGTTTCACCATTGTTTGTGATAACTGTTTGGTCATGAAAATGCAATGTTTATAAGAGAGTTTATAGGAGAGTTTTTAAGAGAGTTTTATATGTATAAGAGAGTTTTTAAGAGAGTTTATATTTTTTAAGAGAGTTTTATATGGATAAGAGAGTTTTATATGTATAAGAGAGTTTTTAAGAGAGTTTTATATTTTTTAATAGAGTTTTATATGGATAAGAGAGTTTATACATATATTTTTAAGAGAGTTTTATATGTATAAGAGAGTTTATATTTTTTAAGAGAGTTTTATATGGATAAGAGAGTTTATAAAACCAACATGAATATGGTTTTATATGATATGGTTTTATATGTTATTATGGTTTTATATGTTTAGTTAGGATTTCTCAATGTTTAGTAAGGGTGTCATTTTGGTTTAAGGATTATCTAGTAATTTTAATATGATTTGTTTTGGTGGATTATCTAGTATTTTTGTCTTGGTTAATTATTAATATGATTTTAATAAAATTTATATTTTGTCTGCTATAGGGGTTACCTGTGAAGAGCAAAGTTGTGATCGTTTTCAAGCATCCTATTGCGTAACATTCTTAGAAGTTAGTGATTTCCTTACAGGTATTCCCTGTTTTGTTTAACTTTTATAGTTTAGTGTAGATTACTCAATTAATATGGATAAAAAATGGATGTCTGGTAATCGATTGTCAAAAGAGTACGAGAATGGGGTATCGAAGTTCGTTAAGTTTGCTGTTGAACACGCCAAAGACCCCAGTAGGATCACATGTCCTTGCTTAGGATGCTGTTATGGGCGTCGAGTTGACGCCGTTCAGTTGGAATCCCATTTAATGAGACATGGAATTGATCGAAGTTACACATGTTGGACATTACATGGTGAGATAAGTAACGAGAATGTTGAACCCCGGAATAATACGACATGTGCTTCAAAGGACAATGGCAGGGATACATATGATTGTGATCGAGTCGAAGAGATTGCAGAAGCACTTGAAGAAGATCTTCAAGATTGTCCCAAGATGTTTGAGAGGTTGGTAAGCGATGCAGAGAAACCGTTGTATAAAGGTTGCACTACTTTCACAAGATTGTCCGCGGTATTAAAGTTGTACAATTTAAAGGCGGGTAATGGATGGTCGGATAAAAGTTTCACAGAGTTGTTAGCCCTACTTCAAGAGATGCTTCCGGAGGATAATTTTCTTCCCAATCGAACCTATGAAGTTAAAAAAATGTTATGCTCTATTGGGATGAGCTATGATAAGATACATGCTTGTCCAAATGATTGCATTTTGTTTCGAAATTAATATGCATCATTAAACGAGTGTCCTAAATGCGGTGTATCTCGGTATAAGAAAAAATTGTCACCATCAAAAGTATTATGGTATTTTCCTATAATTCCGAGATTCAGACGTATGTTTCGTAGTGAAACAGATGCAAAACACCTGACTTGGCATGCAGATGATAGAATTGTAGATGGGAAGTATCGACATCCGGCAGATTCACCACAATGGATGAAAATTGATAATGATTATCCTGATTTTGGAGAAGAAGCTAGAAACCTTCGCTTGGCATTATCGACTGATGGAATGAATCCGCATGGTCTGCAGAGTATCTCACATTCCACCTGGCCTGTAATTATTATGATTTATAACCTACCTCCATGGCTATGTATGAAGCGTAAGTACATGATGTTATATATGTTAATTTCTGGCCCTAAACAACCAGGGAATGACATAGACGTATACCTGACACCTCTTAACAAAGACTTAAAGAGTTTGTGGGAGAACTATGTGGAGGTTTATGATGGATATAGGAAAGAAAGTTTCAATTTGAGGGCGATGTTGTTTGGCACAATTAATGATTTCCCAGCATACGGAAATCTATCGGGGTATAGCATTAAAGGTCAATGTGCGTGTCCTATCTGTGAAGAAAATACAGATTGGACGCGGTTGGAATTTGGTCAGAAGAATGTCTTTCTTGGTCATCGTAGATTCTTAAATTCTAGTCATCACTACCGTGGATGGAGAAAAGCATTCAATGGAAATTCAGAACAACGTAAAGCTTCACCTACATTGACCGGCGAACAAATTTTTGAAAAGGTGAAAGATGTGAGTACTAAGTTTGACAAGCCTTTTGCTCATACGCTTGTCATGCGTGGGTGGAAGAAGAGGTCAATTTTGTTTGAGTTGCCGTATTGGAAGTCGTTGTATGTAAGACATTTTCTTGATGTTATGCATATTGAAAAAAATGTATTTGAAAGTGTTATTGGTACGTTACTCAATATACAAGGAAAGTCTAAGGATGGCCTTAAAGCAAGAAAGGACTTGGTAGCAATGAGAATAAGAAATGAATTAGGACCCTTGAAGAAAGGAAACCGCACATATCTACCACATGCTGCTTATACTTTATCTAGAAAGGAGAAAAAGATATTGTGTAAGTTTCTGAGTGAAGTTAAAGTTCCAGAAGGATACTCTTCAGAAGTTAAAAAGTTTAAAGACACATGATTGTCATGTTATAATGGAACACTTTCTACCAATAGGTATACGTTCTATTTTGCCAGAAAAAGTGAGAGGCACAATAACTAAATTGTGTTTTTTCTTTAGGTCAATTTGTAGTAAGGTTTTTTGAAAGTGGATCTTAATAAGGTGGGGTACAAAGATGAGCCTTTTATTCTAGCCACGCAAGCTAAACAAGTGTTCTATGTCACTGATCCGACAAGTACGAAATGGTCTATAGTTCTTTTTTCCAACAAAGTAATCGATGATAACATTGGAGAAAAGGGGGATGTTGATGTTGAGAATGAATCTTATATTATAGATGATCCAGATGAGAATATTAGAGCGGACGAATCATATATTAGAAATGATCATAACGAG